CCAAGACCTTCATTCTGGGTCAACTTCTGCTTTTCTCTTTCCTTTTCTGAACACAAGTCAGAGATTAAAGTTCCTGACAATAGATTATTTACAGCTAAGATACAGAGGTAACTGGAACATTGATGGAATTCCTGCATCAACTGAAGTCAAGGAGGACTTCCAATCTGTATCAGTTAAGGAAGCACCTACACAAATGAAATCACAGATCCTTGGTATAATAAAGTATTTCTCAAAATTAATGCCAAAATTCTGTTTTTGTCATTATGGAGATGCATTTATGGTCAACCTCATCTGAAAAAGCATTAAGCATTTTGGGCAGTGTAGAATATTTGCAATGGACCAGAACAACTGGACATTTCTGTAAATCTTGCTGGGTTTTTACATTCTGTAATAGCATTTTGACTCAGAAATTTGATGTTGAAATGTTTTCTGTTTAAGGTTAAGTTGTGTGAGTGGTGAGGATCCAGGAACACATCAAGCCATGACAGTCTCATGTGACACCCTTGATAAAGTCAAATTAAATATAAAGGAGCTAGGTCTAGCCCCTTTTACAAAGATTCATATCTCTCCTGCATGTTAAGAACTATTATCATACATAGGTACTCTGTCCAAGACAAAATGATTTTATGAAATTGAAATGGATGAGGACCAGGTCGAGAAATGGTAATTTAAAGTACAATAAAGAATTCACTTATAATATGTAGATAAAACTGATTTTAATATTAATAACAAACATGTCAATCAATTCATTCTAGATTTCTGAAATTCGACATTTAAAATTCCATTAAAAAGCTATATATAAGAATTCTAAGTTTTTAAAAATATCTATTGGCTAAATCTATTAAAATGATTATTGGCTGTTACTGACAATATTTTTATATTTCACTATAGGTCTCCTGTAGAATGGATAGAAGAAGCCTTGAAGCCAAGAAAACCTGGGTTCAAGACTTGCCTTTGAAACATACTGGCCATATGACTCTGAGCAAATCACCTAATCTCTCAGTGCTCTAGGCAACTTTCTAAGACGATAAATTGCAGAGAAGATGATGACATGCATCGATCTAGAGGAAGTGTCCTCATTAAGAAGTTCCTTAGATCAATGAAATAATAGATCTAGTACTTCAATAGTCCCTTATAGAGCTCCTATTACCTAAAGGAGAGGGCAACTAATGATTAAAAACTGATAAAAATCTAGCATTTCAAATAAAGGCAACCAAAAAAAAAAAAGAAAAAGGAAAAGTAATCATTCAAAGGATCTAGTTTAAGGGGAAAGAAGAAGGCAATAATGTTAAAAAAAAAAATAGAAGCAAAGCCAGATCCTAACTGCATTTTGTCATAAAACCCTTAGTTTAGTTAACTAGGATTATCAGTCATTCCACTAACCAATCCTCACCTTTCTCTCCTTAAAAAAAAATAAATTAAACATTCAATATCATTTATAGCAAAGAGTTTGAGACTTGAGTCTTGTTTTCTGACTCAGATTGTATTTACCTAACAAATTCTGGTATAGCCTTGTGGGTTTAGTATCTCATGAAAGTCTGAAGCTAAAGGCATTATACTATACTCCAGACTAGTTTGAAAGTCAAATCTAAACTTGAATTAAAGGTATTTTAATTGAGTCAGAGCTGGAAGGAATCTTAAAGGTCATTTAGTCAAACCCATATCTAAGCAGGAGCCCTCCATACAAAATTTTAAACACGTGAAGACCTCATATGATGGAAAATTCACTATTAATCAAGGCAACTCATCCCGCTTCTGGACACGTGTAATCATTAGGAAGTTGTCCCTTATACTTACACAATAGAATATAAACAAGAGCAAGGACTGATTTCTATTACCTTGCATATAGCAGGAATCAAATTACCTACTAAACTAAATCTGTTAAATTGTAGTTGTGATTTAACTGGCCAGAGCATCTATTTATTTGTTTACTAATTTGTCTATTAATCATATGGTTTATCTGGATTGACTTTATAATTCTTTTAAAATATGACTTTAAAATATTGCTAGTAGAGAAAGAACTTTACAGTGTTATATGTTAATGTAATAGCTACTAGATCAATCATATTATGCAACTGTCAGTAGCTGTTAGTTTATTTTCCAAATTGTGTTGTTTTGATGTCTTACCTGAAATAGCAGAGCTGACATGTTTATCAGCCTCTCCAGCAGATGCTTTTTTAGTCATATTCTGATCTATGAATTAATAGGGCTATTAATATTACCAGTAATAGATAATTTGTAAATGGAAGTATAAGTAAAAAGGAAAGAAACCATACTAAACTTTAATGAACTTACACAAAGCAAGAAAAATAAAAAATTCTTCTTAGATAATAAATCCAAAAACAGATACACTGTGATGTGAGGAATGATGTAATATTTTCCCCTTCTGTTTGAGTTTTAAGGCCATTTATAATATAAAAACCCATACTATTCATATCGTTAAAACTAATAATACATATGTACAAAGAATCCATATAACTCTAAGGATTGAGTATCACAGGCTTATAAGACTTAGAGCTAGAAGGAAATTTAAAGATTATAGGAAAATAAATTTAGAGATGGCAGGATCCTTATAAGTCACTTTTCAGTCTAGAGCTAAGGAAAGTGAGGCTCAAGAGACATTATGTGACTTACCCACAGTCACACAGATAGTATAGAGAAGAAATGGACCTTGAATATAGGTCATCTAAGTCTAAATCAAATGCTCTTGCCACACTATATCATATGATCTCCATTTCAGGTCCCTTTTGGCTTCTACGTATTTCAGGTCAGAGCCCAAAAACTTAGAAAAGCTTACATGTAATATGCTTTAAATACATATCACAAAAGTACAGCCTATATATCATAAAACAATAAAAAGTGGTAATAATGAGTCCTTTTAAGTTTCCCCTTGAGTAGGAGGAAAAGGGGCCTCTCTTTCATTTGATAGGTCAGACAGAAAAATTGTAGCTGTCAGCTTCCCAGAATAGCAAAGCTTTTTTCACATGAGCTTGTCTGTATTCGATCAAGGGAAAAAAAGCAAGAAAAAGTTTCTACTAAGTAAGAACCTTCCCTTTCTTCCTAATTTATACTAACATATAGCATTTAAGAATATTCATTGTCCACTCAGAGAATGACAGAATCTTAGAGTTGGAAAGGACTCCAGAAGTCACCTAGAACAATCTTTACCTGAAATATGAATTGCCTCTATAACATTCCTAACAATCTGTCACCTAGTCTCTGCTTAAATGCCTCCAGTGAAGAAGAGCTGACTACTTTATAACAACTGTTCATTCTACTTTTAGAAGCCACTGAGACATCACCACCATTCATTACATTTTTTATAGTATTGTCAATTTACTATTGCCTAATATAATATTTTTACATTTTGTCTAACTCACCTCTATTTATGCAAAAGCTAAGTTGGGCACTAAAGTACTTTAAACTCATTAATGTTAAAAAAATTTTAAATAATTTTGCATAGAAGTATTCTTTTTTAAATGAGAACTTGCTCATAACTCAAAGAAATATCTGGGTAATTTCCTCAGACAACCCTCCCAGAACTAATATTTTATGCCAACTCTTAGATTAATTTAAAAGAAAAGCTGCTGACCAAAGACATATAAGCATATGAATCCAGGTCTATATGTGGTATGCAAAGTAGCAATGATTACTATATGTTGTTCCTCAAGTAATAGGTGGTAACAACAGCATTTAAAATAGCTCAGGTTGTACATTACTTTATAATTTGGAAGGGCAAGTTAAAAAACTTAAAAGAATTGTTCAAATTTTAGAAATCTGCCTTGTGTACTTAATTTACTTCTAATTTTACAGATGTGTAAAAATGGAGCCAATCATTTTAATAAAGCTTCAATCTCACCCCCAAAAATGTTACATATCCATATATTCTGTGAAATAATTTATTGAATATATTTATATTTATTTAAGTTTGCCTGAATTTTAAAAGTTTGTAGCCATAAATTATCGGTGAGCTACTATTCACTTTTCCCCCTCTGGGGACAGTATATTAAATAGTGTTTCTGGCAAAAAGCTTGCAATGCATAAAATGAAAAGTGGATCTTGTGGTATTGACAGGACAGATCTCTTATAAAATCCTATTTTCAAATTTTTCAGCAAGAGTATAATAGAAATTATTTAAGCACAAAATGGTGTTTCTTATGTATTATATTCTAGGAGACTCAAGGGTGGAAAACAGTTGAAAACTTCCAGAATTTCAGAATATCCTATTAGATATATATGGTGAGAAGGACAGAAAAGCTGATAAGGGTGCAAAGATACCAAAAAAACCTCAAATATTAGAAAATAACTTTGTGTAGTTTACAAGTTAGACAGGGAGACAAATTATATACAAATGAAATAACCTGAGAACAGTTGCAGAGTGACGTGATAAAGACATGTAGTTACAATATAAAAGGAGTACATAAAGTGCTCAATGGATACACCATAGGAAGGGAATGATTACGGTATAGTGAAAAAGGAAGTGAATTCAGAGACAGACCACTTTGTTGTGAGTCCTGGCTCTAAGGTACATGACTATGAGCAAGTTACCTCTCTTAAGTTTCAGTTTTCCTACCTATGAAGTAGAGTTAGTAATTCTTACTCAAACAACTTCATAGGATTGTTTAAGGTAAATGCTTTTGTGAAACTTAAAACACGTTTTTTATTATTATCATCATCCCTAGAGTTGGTAGACATTAATCAAGATTTACTAGAGGCGGTAAAGTTTGAGATCAGTTTTTAAGAGGAAAAGACAATATTCCCCAAAGAGACAGACCTATTTATGATACACTTATCACCATGAAGGGTATGTAAAATAACTACAATTCACGTTAAACCTAACCAAAATTATGATGTATTTTGTACGGTCATTAAGGACTTTTAAAGGGTTATCATGCTTGACATTTTAATAATTTGCCAATTTAAAAGCATAGTCTATTCAAACTATAGCAAGAGTCCCTACAAACCAATTATGTCACAATGCACACATCTGAAATGTTTACCTTTGGTAGGTCCTTTTCTGTTCAACATGGCCTGTTGTTCTTCAGTAATATTCAAGCGTCGCACTACATCGGCCAGAGCTGACTTGAGCAGCTGGATATCATCTTGCATCTGGACCCGCTGCTCCAGAGAAGCAATTCGATCAGTTACTTCCATGCTACTTGCAGCAGAAGCACTGTCATCTAAATCAAATGACATAGCAAAATATGACAAAATGTCCCCAAAGTAGACCAAGAAATATTTTTTTCTACTAAATCTTCCTCCTATTGCTCAGTATATATTGGGGATGGTACAAGGCACTCTAATATTATGAAAGCAGAACACAAGCTTTACCAGGTCCCACCAAACTACAAAGGCTTTGAGTAAAAGCTTAGCTATATATCTGTTGTCCAAAGACTAGATCAGGTTTGGAGAGGCTTATCACTGAGAAATTGGTAACCTGGTAATGGATTTCTTGGGGTTTTTTGGCCACACAAACTCATTAAATAATCACTATTTAATGAATATTTAACACGTTGAATAGGGGAGTTTTAATCTGTACTGATGCAGGCAGTATCCAAACCAATGAAATCACAGTTCTCTGTCACGAAAATAAAAGAAATTTATATTAATTATACTCATATACCTCTTCTAAACTAGGAAAATTAAATAAAAACTAAATACAAAAATATATTCATTCTAAAATCATATGACCTAAATTACTTTAGTTTTTGCTGCATGAAGAGATTAAGATATGTAGAACTTCAAATCTTTGTTTCATCTACTTAATTTTCACACTTGCTTCTGGCATTGCCAGTGAGTCATTTCCCATTTGTGATACTGTAAATGAACACTGAAAAAGAAGTTAGAAAAGCTGGATATGTTATTATTCTATTACTATTATTCTATCACTAGAATTCTAATTACTAGAATACTAATTACCTAGAATTCTAATTATACTTTTACTATTATTAGATTTTTAGTGCAAGGTATTTAATTTCTCTGAGCTTCAGTATTCTCATCTATAAAATAGAGATAATTATTTCTACCATTACTGGTTCACATAGTTGTTATAACGATCAAATAAGAAAGCAGATTTAAAGTGTGTTATAAACCATAAAGTACAACATCTGAGTTATTGTGATATTGATGAATATTCTTAAGGATAAAATGAGATAATATATGTGAAAGGACCTTGGAAACTCAGAAACTTGTAAAACTTGGGAACTATAAAATAAGATGTAAAAGATTATCATAGAACTCAGTCTTGAAATTACAGGCAATCTAGCCTAATCATGTGATTTTACAGTTTAGGAAAATAAAGCCCAGAGAGGTGAAATAGCTTATCCATACACAGTCATGGAGCCAGGTCCTTTGACTTCAAATCTATTGTACTTTCCACTATCACATGTTGTTAACATTTTTTCTCCAACAGGTAGGTGACTCAGTGGATAGAGCTCTGAGCCTAGCTAGAGTCAGTAAAACCTGAGTTCAAATCTGGTCTCAGACACTTACTATCTGTGTGACCCTGGGCAAGTCATTTAATCTCTGTTTGCCTCAGTTTCCTCAACTGTGGATAATAACAGCCCCTACCTCCCAGTGCTGTTGAGAGGATTAAATGAAATAATATTTGTAAAGCTCTTAGCACGATGTCTGGCACGTAGCAGGTACTATATAAATGCTTAATCCTACCCCCCTTCCTCTAGGTTTGGGCCACCTCATTCCTGAGCATCACAGATTTACAGAATTTTAGAGTTAAATGGGATCCCACAAATCATCTATTCTAATCTCCAACATAGTCTATAATCACATATCCCATAGATTTTTAAGAATTAACAGATAATATTGGTATGACCTCTAATAATTTAAAGTGCAAGTCAACTAAAGGGAGATAAGGGAGGCACTTAAAAACAAGATTTTGGCAATATAGTTATAATAGATTCTGATGAGATATCTAAACCTACTTCTTTGACCAACTAGGTGTATTACTCCTCATCAAACTCAGGTGTTAAAAGAATACATACAAGAGATAGAAGTAAGGGCAGATGACTAAGGAAGAATACAAAAAAGTAATAAAACCTTGCCTTTTACATTAGGTGCTCCCTATATTTGGAATGCCCCCCTTCATCTCTCAAAATCCCCAATTTCCTTCAAGGCTCAATTCAAGTGCCACCTTCTATATGTGGTCTTTCCTTATCTCCCCTTCTACCCCAATGTGAATAATTCCCCCACAAAATCACCTTGTATTTATTTTGTACATACCTACATATGTGCATATTTTCCCACCCAGGTAGGCTATAAACTCTTTAAAGAAATCATTTGTTTCTGCTTTTCTCTTTGTATTCTCAGCGTCTAGCACAGTGCATATAGCATAACAGATGATTTAATAAATGCTTTTGATTGATTTAATCTCACAATACCGGCCACGAGGCATATACTCCAAAGAGATCAAAGACAGAGGGTAAGGACCAGTATTTAAAGCAGCACTTGATAAAGTAAATAATTGCAATATAAATGTGTTATAGCAAAGAACTTTAAAAAGTGGGTATCTATCAATTGAGGAATGGATGAAGAAATTGTGGTGTATGAATATAGCTAAATGCAAGATGTCCCAAAAGTCTTTGTGCAATTTTAAGCATTAAGAGCTCAATGGATTCTTAAAAAGCTATGATATTAATATTTGAATGATGATAATACTGTTGGTTAGGATAATACAGTGGATTCAGAGAAACCTTGGAAGATTTATGTGAAATAATACAGAATAAAATGAGTAGAACCAAGAGAAGAAATTACTTGAAGGACTCAATAATATAAAGGAAATTAACTTTAAAAGACTACAGAATAAATGCTATGACATTTAACGATGAATTGTGCTACCCACCTTTTGGCTAGAGAGGTAGTGGGCTACAGGCACAAAATGAGACATTTTCAGACATGGCCAATGTGTTGGCTTTGAATTCTGTGGAGACTCTGTGTGTGTGTGTGTGTGTGTGTGTGTGTGTGTGTGTGTGTGTGTACACATATACATACATATATATGTGTGTATATATATATAATATATAATATATGCATGCACACACATACACACACACACTCTCTCTCTCTCTCTTCCATTAGAATATAGGTTCCTTGAGAACAGAGACTGTTTTATTTTTGTCTTTATATTCTCAATGCTCAACACAATGCCTGGTACATATTAAGTACCTGATAAATGCTTGCTGGTTTATTAATCGGTTGATATAAGGGTAGGCTTCATGGCAGAGAGAGGGTGAATAAGAGGGTAGTGAGAGAAATTTAAAAAAAAAAGAAAAAGAAAATATTTAAATAAAATATTTAAAATATGTAAAAGAAAAAATTTTCAGAAGAGGACACAAATAGGGCAATTGTGTTACCACTGTGTTAAATTTAATATATACTTTTAAAAAACAAAGTATGTAACAGAAGTTCGTGATTTGTTATATGTTCCTCTTTTTTGTCCCTCTTACTGAAATGTTCAAGTTTGTTGATAACTATTAACATTTTAATAACAATGATATGTATATGTATACACACACACACACACATACACTCAAATATATGTGTGTACAGATATATACATTTGAAGAACAGTGGCAGGAACACTAAAGTCCAGCATGACTAAGGCTTGTGATAAATGTTAGAAATAATAAAAAGAAATTATTTAAGCGATGTAGGAGTCAAAAGGAAGATGAAGGAATAGGTCCCCTGCTTGGCATGTGTAAAAAAATAACAATGACAGAACAACTTCACTCATATTTTCTTCTTCTTTTTCCCTCAACTGAAACAAGTGATATGATTGAAAAATATAAAGCTAAATACTTAATTAAGACTCGAAACTCAAGCTAAGCAAAAAGAAGATAAGAAAATACCTAGTTGCCCTTAATGAATTCAGGCCCTCTGGCCCAAGCAAACAGCATTAGATGGTACCAACAACAGCAACAAAAAACTTGCAGGTGTAATTGCAGAATAGCTGCTGGGAGTTTCAAAAATTCATGGGAGATTAGAGATGCCCAAAAGCAGCTGAAGGTAGGCAAATACCTCGATTTTCAAAAAGAGGAAGAAAGTGAATATTTCAAAATATAATCCAGCAACTTAACTGAAATGACTTTAATCCCACATAAATTTCTTAAATAGATTATTAAAGAAATATTTTGTAAACATTAAAAAGGGCCTGACTCATCCTTTAAGATACATAAAGATACATCCTTTTTAGCTACATATTTCATTCAGAAAATCACACCAACCTCACTTCCTATTTTGACTAGGTTAGTAAATGAGAAGCCTGCCATGGTCACAAAATTTATGGATTTCATAAAAACATTTTAATGAAATCCTTCATGATGTTTTTGCAAATGCAATGGAGACATATGGACCAGATAATAGTTCTGCTGGATTAAGAGCTGACTGACTAAGCAGCACCAAAATGCAATGATGTAACTTACTATATCCTACTGGATGTCACCCTAGAGTGCTTTCAGTTTTACCCTTTTCTGTTCCACATATTTATCAGTTACTTGGATGAAGGTATTGATTCTATGTTAAAGTCTAGATAACAAGAAGCTAAGGATGGGGATAGTTAAAATACAGCATTCCATAAACATTTATGACTGATGAAGGAATTTGTTTTGCTTGACTGTCATATTTGTTACAAGAGTTTTCTTTATAATTTCTCATTGAGGAGGCAGAAAACAGAGAAAATGTTTTATAATTAAAAAATAAATTTAATTAAATGTAAATTTTAAAAAAAATATTAAGTGCCTACTATAAATAAGGTAGAGATAGCTAGGTGGCTCAGTGGACAGAGCGTTGGGCCTGGAATCAGGAAGACCTGAGTTCAAATCCTGCCTCAGACACTCACTTGTTGTTGTGACTCTAGATAATTCACTTACCCTCTGTCTGCCTTATAGTTATCACTGGAGAAGGAAATGGCAAACCACTCCAGTATCTTTGCCAAGAAAACCTTACACAGGGTTATGAAGAATTGGACACAGCTGAATGACTGAACAACAACATGTAAAATTCTGTGGATGACAGAATTGGACTCCAGAGTTATTCCGATAAGTCATAATGGTGGGCTAACACGAACAAGAAAGAATTGGTGGCATGGTAAATAGTGTGTTGGACTTGGAATCAAGAAAGCTATAAAATGGGGATTATAATAGTACATACTTCACAATGTTGTTGT